GAAAACAAAGTACCTCCATACTCGCTTATTACAGGCAAATGGTAAATAAGTTTGAATATAAGTATTTATTCTTGATAGTTATTAAGACTTAGTGCAGATGAGCCAGCACAACGTGTATAGATTGTTTCATTCCAATCAAGGATTCAATAAACACATAACACACCTGGCAATTTTTAATGCAGTCCAGGTAAAGGGCAAGATTTTGCTTATATATTGACTGGGGAAAAAAAGTGCAATAAAGAACCATCAGGTTGCATTTATAAATTTCAGTTCCGTGAGTTACAATCCCAAAAGCAAAGGGTACAAGCTGTATTTCATTTTGCTATCTGACCACTGTAATGCCTTCAGTAATTATCTTTTCAGCTAGCAAAACTATTTTTTTCCCTGTCAACGAGTCTATCTGTCACACAATCTTTTCAATTATATATGCTGATTTAATACCCAGGAGGATTTTATTATTTGTGCAAAGCTTGTTGAAACATAGCCAAAGAGGACAGTAAACTTATTGTGTTCTTTGGTGAAAGAAAAACCTTTAATTAAGCTACAATTCAAGTATCTTTCTGCTACTACTGTATTTTAAGATATTTTTTTTTTTTTAACCTTCAAATATGTTGAAAGTAAGGATACTTTGTACAAGGAAATCAGAACAACTTATTAAAGCAGCAAACAACCACCAACATGCTATATTCATCCAAATCCTGTGAGCAACAACTATTTCATTTCCTGAGGCATCCCCTCCCAAGGGATCCTATTTCCCAAGCTGTTTTCCTCATATGCCTGTATTTTGGAAAGAAGACTACTGGGATAAGAACTGAGAAAATGAAATACAAAGCAGGAGATCAGAAAATACAACTATCCATAGTAGAGTAAAATATAGGAGCAAAAGGGAATGATGGATAAGTTGCTGGATGAAAGAAACAAGAAAGCACACAGCTGTAAATTAATGAGTTCTCTTTCCAACTCAAGATAAACTCCTGAGGCCGATTATTGAATATCAATACAACAAAGCCTGCTTTTGGAATAGAAAAAGAAAAATCACAAAATAAAATTCTAATATTCCTATATTCCTAACACTAATCTTCAGTGTTCCCTATTTTCCTCATTGAATTTAAGTTTCACCTTTTACTTAGACACAGAAATTGCAACATTTTGTTTCTTCTGAAATACCTGACATTGTTTCTTAATGTTACAGAAAATACTCTAGGACAGAAATGTGCAATCTAATATCTTAAAACAACATCCTTGGATTCACCGTGTTTAGATCATACTGGCAGCCTGTGTTAGAAAATCTGGGGATAAAAATAATTAGGATTATACAGAATCAGAAGTTACAAGCGCAGGTAAATATTTTATTGCTGTTCCATGATAGATTGTTTTCTCATGATTAAGAGATGTATCGGCAGTGTCTGAAAAGATAAAGTTTGGGACAATGAGGAACTGAATATTTGCCCCTTGCAATGTAGCCTTGGGAGACTGACTAAAACTATATTTGAATCTAGTCGTGAAATTGTCATTTCAGGAAGCTAATAGCAATTTCTTTGATATTATTTTTGTGCTTTTTTTTTTTTTTTTTTTTTTTGCAGAAAGATAGAATATTAAAAATGCAAAGAAAAATCACTAAGGTATCACATAGAGTTGAAAGGCTGTCTCAGTCAATTTTCTAGATACTCTGTCCTAAAAAAAAAAAAAAAAAAAAAAGAAAAAATCATAAACCATGTTGTAATACTATAATGGGATGGAAAGTACCACAATAATAGCAGGGTGGCAAAGTCTTCTGTTACAGCAAATGAGAATGAGCCCAAATGCAGCAGACACAGAAATGAAGGAAAAGAGCTTCTTACCTCTGAAAGACTTCAGGTAGACAAGGATCTCCAGCAAAAGATGCCCTCTCCTTCATTGCCAACCTTTAAATGTAATGGGAAGGGGAGGATCCTAGCTCCACCCCTTCTGGTCACTCAGCTACATTACATACACCCGAACTCCCCTGGGTTGGCCCTGCCATCCAACCAAATGCTTAATTACTGTTTCAGGCCATGACTTAACATTTTTAGTGCTCAAGTTTGCAGTAGATTTTTCAGAAAGTTTTTTTCCATCAAGAGTAAAAAAATACTCTTTTTAGTCTATTAAATTAGTTAATTGTTAATTAATAAAATTCATGTTGCCAACAGCATCTGTGTGGTCTTGAAACAAATACATATCTTCAGAGCAGAAATTTACTGAGTGCCTCTCCTTACCAATTCTGTCTGAATCTTCTCATTTCTCAGTTACCTTTAGGAACCAAATACCAAACGGTAATATTTTAATACATCCACCCTGATAAGGCCACAAAATTAAGACAAATGTAAAGAAATCCTAACTAATACTTGAACATTAGAGAACTAAAGATTAGTGTCTTAATTTTTAGTGCTTATTATGCTCTTCTAATTTCCTCTTGAGAAATATTTCTCTTCACAGTTGTCCACTCAAGCGGGATTAGTATTAAACTTAAAAGTCCCAGAGATACCAGGTGTTTTTAAGCAAGAGAAGAAAAGGCAAATACTTGGCTATAAAGTTACATACTGCACCGAATCTCTGAGCAATGCACTGCAGATATAGTGAAACATCGCTTATACACAGGGCAACTGTCAACATCAGAAGACCTAAGTTCTGCAATATACATTTCTTATTGCAGAAGTAATTCACAGATGAAGTTTTAGGTTTTGATGAGAACAACGAAGTCATTTAGTAGTTTTAAAATATGAAATACACACTTACCAGCCTTTTACTTCTGATTTGTTTTAGAAAGTCTATGTCACTATAAGGGGAATGGCATCTTGATGGTCTGTTAGCAATTGAAAGATATGAAGTCACTCCTTTTTATTAGAAAGGGCAGAAATATCCTTTTTGAGAAATGCATTTCATTTCTTCAGATTGTGTTGTCCAAATCCACGTCTTTTATGTTTAACAATATAACCAATTAAATCAGTACAGGCTTAAGCATAAAATATTGTCTACAGTGCAACATACATGGGACTGAGCAGAGAAGCAAGACTATTCTTAAAAATAAAAGGTCCTCTGAAACATCATCTTTCACAGTGTTACTACTCTGAATAAACAAACTAAATATATCAATTTTACCTGATTTCCTTCTTATCTTAAAGACCTGTAAGGATAGAAGCTAAATCTCAAATTCTGAAGTATCAGTCCCCTTTGTCTGCTGGAAGTACAGAAAAGCAGCCCTGAAGTTGGTTGAGAATTGAGTGAAAGTTCAAATACGGATAACAGTTTTCCATTACTTTTTTCCCCCTAAATTCAATCACAACCTTTCTCAAAATAATGTTCTTGCCATATAATAAACTGATGTATTAATTATTACTGACATATGCCCCTATCCATACAGGGGATTCACATTTGTGACTGCATTGGGGAAAACTCATCTAAGCAGACCAATCTCCAAAAATGCGCTATAGTCTTACACAATATAAATGTTTTTCCTCACCTTTTTTTTGCTTTAGCTTTAAGTCATATCAATGCACTACTCTTCTACTCCCCCGCCCCCCCCCCCCCCCAAAAAAAAAAAAAAAGTAACACTAAAATAGCTACCGGCGATGTCAAATCAGCTTTGCAAGGATGGGAAAAATAAGACGACTAGTCTGCAAAATTTTAAAGTAGTTTTTCAGCTATCCATTTCCTCTTTAAAAATTCATCACAGCTATCAAAAATAAGTTTCATACTTCAATTTAAAATTGTGTATTAATTTGGATTTAACTTAGGTTAGGGAGAACATGTCTTTGAGGTGGTTCCTTTGGTAGCTAATCTTGTATCTCACATTTCTCCTGGTTTCTAGCAGGAATAAAAATGAATTACCATTGAAAATTTATCTAATGACAACAGAGATCAGAAATGCTATTAAAGATTCAGCAATAAAATGATGATGGAATACCATCAAAACCCTTTTTTTAAGCTGCCATATAACATAATGGAGCACCACTATTGTTGTTAGGACAGAAACAAATCAATAGAGAAACAAACATGTCTTGAAAGCTTCCCAGTTTCAAAGATACAGTACACCTGATTTCCTTATTTCAGAAGCACTCATCATGAAGGAAATAAGGACTCATAAACATAGCCAACCTCAAGAGAAGTAACCTCAAGCACAAGTAATGCATCTGTGAATGGAAGCAAACAGCTCTGAGACTCCATAATCAAGATCACAGTACAACTGACTTCATTTCTTGTGGAAAATAACATCACTGAAGTGGAAAACCTGAGAGGCAAGCTGATAAGGTCTGAGTTTTCAATATGTTAAAATAGGATTGGATGAAACTGAAAAAACTACTTTCTCCCCCTATGTAGAACTCATTATATAATATCTACCTGGCTTCCCAACAAATTATTTCCATCATCCTACACCGTTTGTTTTTCATTTATATCATGTGAATTCACCTATAGAAAAAGAATATACTTTAATAAGTATAGCTCCAAAATGTGCCAAGTTCAAGACTGACATACTCTAAGGCAGACTGTGGTTTACAGAGTCGAAGGATGAGTAGGGTGATATACTATGAAATAATATTAGAATAATAAGTTAGAACAGGAAGGAAATCCCACGAATTAATGCAAAATAATCATGTAAAAAAATCAGTCCATAATCCATTTCTGCTGAGAAAATAAGCAATGGGTAAATCTGAGACATTTCCTCAAATGCTGTATTACAAATTCCATAGAGACAAAAATGACAGTTTTAGTGAGAAATGTTAATGATAGACAGTTGGACTGGATGACCTTGTAGGTATTTTCCAACCTTGGTGATTCTATAATATTCTAGACTAAGATATGATTTTTACTACTGTTGCTTCACAAAAAGTTTAATAGTTACACTAGACACGTATTTATTGGATACAGTGAAGCAGTATTTTTAAAAAGGCAATTTTATAAACACAGGTAAGTATAAATTAAAACAAACTAAAACTGAAGAATGATAGTCTTATAATAAAATCTGAAACCAAACACACAAGAAAAAGAAGGAACGTGGCTGTTTTATTAAAGATTTACATGGGCAAATTATGCCTGGATCAAGTGAAGAACGTAGCAGTTGTTAGGCATCTGAGCAAAAATCCAACAGCCTCTGAGGAGCTATATTGTTTTCTTCTAGTTCATGGAGGTTTATTTTATCCCATGTCAGTTTAGAAAACAAGAGGAAAACATCTGCTTATGAGAGTAAAAACAAGCTTCAAAATTGAAAAAAAAAAAAAAAAAAAATGAAAACACTTATAGCTTCATTTCTCTAGGATATATCTTCATGTAGAACACTGGACACCTGTCAAATATTAAGAAGATATTTCTGAGATTCATAGCCAAAGTTTCAAAGAAGTTCAACAAGACACATTGATTTTTAAAATTTCTTTTGTGTGAGAACGCACAGTAAAAGCAATTATAAAGTCTCCCTCCCATAGCTGTCTCTCTTTGTAAAAGAGAAAGACTATAGCCTTTGGAACGTTAACATCCTTTTTAAGTCAGTGGATGAATCAGAATTTACCAATATGAAAGAAGCTCTTTCTCACACATGTAGAATTTTTCCATGCAAGGCTTATTACCTGATCTAAAACAAAACAAAACAAAAAAACCAAAACAAAACAAAAAACAAAACACATCAACCATACATAAGCATAACAGTAAAGTAGTGCAGGAAAAATGGGTTGCTAATTAGATTATTCCAGAAAAAAAAAGTGGTCACTGTTCTCATAGTCGCAGTGAGACACAGTCTAGGTCCTGAGCTCCTGAAAGTTTCACTGAAGTTTTCATTTTAGCTAGGTCAGTACACTATAGTTAGAAGGCTGGAACTTTGGACGACTGTATAGTTGCATGCTATGTTACTAACAATAGAAAAGATTGGATCCTCTGTGCTGGCTGATAGGCAGGAAGGGCTTCCAAAGTCTTTGTGAGTTGCAAACAAGTTGAGTGACAGCTGGAAACCCGTCCTTAGCTTTTTTTTTTTTTTTTTTTTTTCTCTCCTTTTAAAAGAGGAAACAGTATGCATTGTTATACTAATTGTTTGTAACATTGTCTCTTTGGTCTGCACTGTTATATTCTGCTAAGTTTTGAGGTGCTAGAAATACCAAGAGAGGAACACAGTGTATTAGAGTCACAGTGTAGTTTATGTCTTTGACATTCTGCTAGAAAAAAAAAAAGAAAAAGAAAAAAAGAAAAAGAAAAACAAAAAGCAGGCTGAATTTTACCTGAGAAGCCACTCTGGCTTCTTGTTCTAATTTCTGGTCTTCTCCTATAAAAAAAAAAAAAAAAGTAACTGTATGAAAAGAAAGCCAGAGAGCAACAGCAGATGCCACCATTCACTGTAAACCTTCCTAACTTACAAATGTAATCAATACTAAACTGAATAAAGGTGTTTTAGAAACCAATACAAATTTAGGGAAGTTATGGCAAATAGGATTAGACAATAGAGTGAGGAATCGAGAAGCGTTTCTGTTTGCAGCAGAAGAGTGCATTGGCTGCACAACTGTACTAGAATAGAAAAATAAGGATTATTATATTAACATATTCATCAGATTGACATTACCTTAATACAGCGGGAAAGTCTCAAGCAGAATGGCTGATATTGGCAAGCCAGCAGCAGGACGGGCAACTTATGTTAGTTCATTTTGCTTGTATTCCTTTCAGGAATATGTATGCTGTAACTTGCATCAATATGGCACAAAGATACAAAACAAAAATAAATCCAAGCAATAACTAGACAAAATATATTAATGGACTCCACCTTGAGGAAGACTAGACCAGAAATAATGCTGTAGTGAAAACTGATACAAACTGACTAAAGAATATCCATCCATTTATACAACACTGTTCATTGTCTCAGAATGCTGAAGGCTCCTGTGAGACCACAGTTTGTTCTAATGTTTCATTCCAGCTGGTGTGTTAGTATGAAACTGTAAGCTATTATAAGAGAATGTATGCATGTGGAAGCGTAAAGCTTTTTCACATTCTTTCTTCCTGCTTACAGAATGATGAATTAATCCCAGGATTGCAGGGAATATTCTAGCCACAATTTAAAGGAAAAAATAAAAGTATGAGTAGTATGAGACCACTTTTAACACATTTCTAACTTAACCCAAGTTGTTGTAAGTCTTGCAGAGCAGAGAGAGTAGTTTACCCCAGGCAGTGATGCTATCATTTGGTGCATCCCATATGACATTCTTCCTTATTGCACATTGAAATATGGTAACCATTAATATTCTTCCAGTGTTTTGAATTAACCCTCCTGCAAAGAATGAAGAAAAAAGTCATACCACCTTCTGCTCACTGGATGAGTTTTTTTTTTTTTTTTTTTTTTTTTTTTTTCCTAATGTTCTAAAACATATAATTTGTAAGACACATGCAAGGAAGCCCCAGAACTACTACATAATTTCCACTGAAAACAGGAGAAGTTTTAAGTCAATCCTGAAGATGAGGAAAAAACAGTAATAGTGTGAGAGTAAAATGCAGATAATTGTCAAAAAACTAGATCATCTCAAAAAAAGTTGAAGTTGTAATACATTCAAGCACTTCATAATACAGAGTCTGAAAAGAAGCAGTACTGGGTTTTCTTTAAAAAGTTGCCCTGGATCTGAGCACGCTTTAAGAGAAAAAGAAAAAAATTATATATGAAGTGCATAAGAAAAAAGACAAGTAAATTCCATCATTATAATTCCATTATACTTGGATCATAGGCCTGATTTTTTTCAGTCTGGATTTTCAAGTTCTACCTCCTTCATAGACAAAAAGTCATGAACTTATGCCATGGCTAAATAAACATCTCAGCTTTGGATGACATCTTTCAGGTAAGAATGGGTATGACCATGGGTAGTGTTGGACTCAAAGGTACTCAAAGTCCTGAAATGTGTTAAGTCATTCTGCCTTCAGTAAAGTTTACCACTGTCAGACAATCACTACCATGGATTTACCCTCGAAGCTTTTTCTAATTTAGCTACTCTACCCTGACAAACTTGCTTCACAAACCTGAAGAGATTTTTCCATTCATGAGAGAAATATAGAAGTCTTAAATACAGCCCTCTGACAGAAAGATCAATTCCTCCAGTGAGAAAAGACATAGAAGAGTCTTGACAGAATTTCTCTGCAATTATAAACCACTCTAAACTATGAGAACAATTCTAAAATAATGGAAATAATAGCATTAAATGTGTAAACAAACATTTGCAGTTTCAATTCACAGGCTGTAATAAAATTGTCCTGCTGGAAGTTATCAAGCCTCCACTATGTTTTGATACATCTCGCCAAGAACTTGTCTTGAAACTTCTGTTTCCCCTCAGTTGTTGTTCAGTGCTAAAAAAAAAAAATTAAAAAAATTAAAAAAAAAAAAAAAATTAACTTCCTTCCAAGCAGGCAGCAGAAATTTATGACTGATACCTGTTTTATTGTTTGTAAATAAAAGAACACTGATTTTCAGTGATAGACACCTGTTGCATTTAAAATTGGATTTGCCTATATAGGTACCACTAACAGCTGCAACAAATCAGGTTTATCAATATTTGAATGGTGGCTAGTATTTACTGCTATCATGCCTTTTATTTTTTCCTTAGAACAATTCAGGCCCCAAAGCTGATCTCTGAACGGCTGTAAGAATCCAAACAGATGGCACTAGAGATAGCGTCCTGACCAAGGTTGATAGCATTAGTATTAGAAATCTATTTTCATAAATAACTGATTTCCTTAACTCATTACAAGTACTAATCTTACATATGTCTGTTATACTTCTTTCACTCTAATCTTCCATTATTTAAACACCAAAAAAAGTAACATATTTTCCTAGTAAATTAATAAGGAAATAAAATGCCACTGTATTCATTCTACAGAGATGAGTTGAAAAAAAAGCATAAAATATTAAAGGTGATTTATGTCTCACCTTATCTTAAGCATATTTTCTAAACTACTTGGAAGAAAGTAAGCTATTTCTAAAGGTGATTCATCCTACCCTCAAATAGGTGGAAGAAATTTCATGCTTAAGTTGTTCTGCAGTAATTATGTATATTTAGAAGAATTCAGAAAATTTGGTTAGTCTGTCCGCCTAGTTTTCAGACCAGTATCAGTAGGCAAGAACAATGCCACTAGGTATTTTGTTCAAGGTCAGGCCTATAGCACATGAGAGAATTTAACTTAGATACCACATTTCTTAGATAAGCAATTCTGTTGTCAGACTGAAGTTCTTCCTTGAGCTTTTGTTAACTCATTTTGTGAAAAACTTACTGTTCAAATCTTTGACAATGGAAGAAGATTCGTATAACATTTAATTTCTCTTTCGCTAGATGCTGCCATACAGAAACCTATGATTGACTTCTCTTTCACAGTTTTACAGCAGACACTTTTTGGAAACAAAGCACTGAAAAAATTTGAATAAGATCCTGTGGAGAATATAAGCAAAGAAAATACCTTAGAATTCCTTTATACATTTTCAGTCAGTATTGGAATTGAGTTACATAACATCTTCTAATGTTACTCTTCATCGTTTTTTCATGTTGCTGGGCCAACTTCAAGAAACAGGACTAAAACTATAACACAGAAACAATTAAGAAGAACAATGTAAGCCATCTAATTTTCCCCTCTTCACCACTCTACCACACACCACTACCCACTCTTGTCACACACTCTTCAAAGTCAAATTCAGTTCATCATTGTACAGCAATAGAAAAACAATAATACCATGTTCTACTAGGATAGGAACGTGCTATAAAGGCATTCGTCAAGACTTAGTTTAAAGCTGTACAGTAAAAAATAGCTGATCATTTTCAAAGGCTGGTGAGGACTCAAGAATGCACAGTCTCCAAATCGAAATGCTGCTCCCACAGCTGCTAACCTTAAATGATCTTTCAGTCACACACGTGCATTGCTTACATCTGTGCTCCCTAAGTTAGCCACACCTTTTCACCTACAGCTCGGTCACTGGTTCAGGCCATGACCTAGCCATTCCAACACAATCATTTTTTTTCCCCTCAATTCATTTATGCAACAGGAAGCAGACAATGAAGATTAATGCTTTTTCTTGATTGAAGTAGTGAAACCACTGCCTTGATTGTTCTTTCAAAACCATGTATTCAATGTTTTCAGTAGAAGTACATTAAAGCTCTCTCACTGTATTCTAGTAACTCTGATTTTGACTCCACCACATGAGCTGATGAATTTGGTAGCTAATATTGGGTTACCGCTTAAGTTTGCAGTTCAAAATTAAGACATCTTCCATGGTGTTCTTTGAAATAGAATTAGAGCAGTATGGCTGCAGTACATTCAGAGTAATTATTTTTTTTAATATAAATTTCAATGGATTGTACTTCCGTTGAAAGTTAAAGATTTGCAAAAATGAAGGGTCTTTTTTGTTGTTGTTTTTTGCGGTTGCCCAGGGAAACAATGGAGACCCCAGAGCCTTTCAAGGAAAGAATAGATATGGCACTGAGGAACATGGTTTAGCAGGCACAATAGTGTTAAACTGACAGTTGGACTAGAGTAAATCAGTGGTCTTTTCCAAAGATCATAATTCTATGATTCTAACTCCAGGCATAGCCTCTCAGAAAGAATTGTGACTTCAGGACTGCATACTGCATAATAGAAGGTTGTTTTTTTAATTCCCCTAAAATGCCTATATTTCTCTTTCTAAAACAGATGCACATTTTTCATTACAAACACCTATATTAGGAAAAAAAACCCTTCCTGTATAAGATTTGAGTCAGCTTAGTTTTACCTAGATTCAGTTGATCAGAATCTCAGAGATAATAGGATATCTTTAAATTAGTGGTAGTAGAATGATGTTCAAAAGCATTATCTCAGTAACCTGAAAAGATTGTTAAGACCTAAGCAGAGATACTATCCAATAAAAACTTGAGTATTAGAGAATAATTTGCTAGAAATCCTAAATATTATCTTTGAAGAAAAAAAAAATCTATAGGGATTATTAACAAAAAACATTTCCATTAAATTACAGTATTTATAACTTTCCATATCTATTACCTAATACATTTCAGGTATTTCATTTTCCTCCCAAAACTCCTAAAGAAATGTAAGGCCTACACTTAGCACAGCTAAGCTGCAAGGAACACAACTGAAACACAGTAGAAAGCAAAACAATAACACAATGGCAAGATTCCAAGCTGAAGCAACAGGGAATTCACTCAAACATGACAACACTAGGCCTTAAAAGAAAAACAAAAAACAAAAACAAAAACAAAAAAAAAAAAAAAAAAAAAAAAAAAAACACTGCTTACCTTCAGAAGCTCTCAGGCATTCAGAGATCTCCAGAAAGATAACTTTGCCTCTCACTGCCAACCCTTAAATGATGTCTGGTAGAGGTGGAGCCAGGATCCACCTCTTCCAGTCACTCAAGTGTGTTGCATGCACCTGAGCTCCCCTGCCTTCCTACCAGGAGCTAAATAATTGGTTCAAACTGTGACTTAGTATTTCAACTACAATTATTAACAGCAAGTGGATGTAGCAATTCCTCAGAAAATTGAGTACCTTAATTTCCTAGTTCAGAACTTTGGATATTGAACTACATGTTGTAGTATTAAAAGAGTAGAATCATTCAAACCAGCTTCTTAAGTGGCAGGATCAATGTCACAGTGAGTTGAATAGGTTACAAAAAAAAAAAAAGAAGCCATTGAATGATTTTAGAATTTTAGCATTATGCAGTTTTATTATGGCAGAATGCCCAGAGCTCATAAAAGATAAATGAGATCTGAAGTTGGAGGAGAGGAGGTAGAGTTGTTAAAGTTAATACAAGGTCTGCTGTTTCCCTGCTCCCCTCCCCCCCATTTATTTTTTATAGGCAAGGGAATGCGTAAAACATCAAAGAAGTCTTCCTGTACATATATACGAAAATAAATTTCAACAGCAACTTTTATTATGAAAGTTCTTCTAGAACCATAAAAGGAGTATTATTCAGTGCATTTTAAATTCCTTTGGAGAAATATAATAAATCCAATGTATATGGGAATAATTGATTTTTTTTGTACATATGTATATATATATACATAGAAAAGTACAGTCCCTGGATCCTTCTTCTGATTTATTAAAATAATAATAAAAAAAGAAAATATCAGATCTCTTCATAAGCATTTCACATAGAGAAATATTCATTAACTTCTGAATTATAAGCACAACAATATTTAGCAATTTGTTTTAATAACAGTAAATACTACTACTTTTCCTAAAACAAAAACAAAAACAAAAACAACGACAAAAAAAACAGGTAGAATAACTCTGTGATCAAAAATCAGTGGAAGAATGTACAAATCCAGAGTGATATTCATGATAATTACAGTCAGAAGAAAAACAAATAATTGCCCAGCTACCTAGAAGTAGTCATTACTTTGAGAATTACTTTTTACTGGCAAGAAGAAAAAGCAATCTGCCAATGTTCATGTTTTATGTGGACACAATTCACTTTGTATTTCTACATGTCCTTTTTCTAGTCTTCTTAAAGAGTTTGCATACATACTTCTATTTTCTTTGTGGTCTACTTTTACAAGATATTGTTTTTCTACTAGTGGAGTAAGTGTAAATGCAGTAAAATAATGCATTTCTAAGTTAATTAATGAAGGAAAATATACAGCTACCTCTGAAATACCTTCATGATCAAAGTTGTCGTGGTAACACAAATAAAAACAAATGTAGATGTAGTAGCACAGTCCTTACAAGAATGTGTTATCTTCTTCATATCTATAAACTGAAATGTAAGTTCAGAATTGCACTAAGATAGAATTGTGGATTCTTCACTTGGATGAAATAAGAGGATTCCTTCACAGTGCAAATAAAACTTATACGGTAAGACATATAAGACATACTCGTGTGGACTGCCCAACATCACGTATGTTCTGCAAATGTTCAGTGTTATTTTCCATTTACACCCAATATTTATTTATCAGGCCATTTCTTAATAGAATTAGGATTTTTATTTCAGGAAACACAACAGTAGCATATAGGTAAAATGTGTAGTATATTACGCCTTTTACTTACACTGGGATCTAATAGGTGTTAATCTGGATTAATCTTTTCTTAATTGAGGTCTACATAGGAATGGTTCTTTGTATTCTGACAGCTGGACCTTTTTTTACGTTATATAAAAACTTCTGCTATTTTGCTACTGTTATTTATCCAATTTTCTTTTTATTCAATTTATTCTGTATTCTTGTTATCTTCTTACTTTATGCTGGACCATAAAAGTAGTAGGCAGTTACATCTCATACTGATAATGACTTAGTTGTTCATGCAATCTAATTATCTACATAATATTCTTTCACTACAATTGATATTCCCATTTACTATACATATAATTTACCTGTTTTGATTTTTATATTGCTAATAAAATATTAATCACAGAATCACAGAATCACAAGGTTGGAAACGACCTGCAAGATCATCTAGTCCAACCACCCTCCCATTCCTATTAGTGCCACAAGCTACTAAACCATCTCTCGTAGCTCCTCATCCAGGCGCCTCTTGAACACTGCCAGGGATGGCGACTCCGCCACCTCCCTGGGCAGGCCATTCCAGTGCCTGACCACCCTCTGAGAGAAAAAGTTTCTCCTAATATCCAACCTAAACCTCCTCTGGTATAACTTCTTGCCATTTCCTCGGGTCCTACTATTTGCCTGGGAGAAGAGGCCAGACCCTTTTGCACCACAACCTCCCTTCAGGAAGTTGTAGAGTGCAATGAGGTCTCCCCTGAGCCTCCTCTTCTCCAGACTGAACAATCCCAGCTCCCTCAGCCGCTCCTCATAAGACTTGTGCTCCAGACCCCTCACCAGTTTCGTTGCCCTTCTCTGGACACGCTCCAGGGCCTCAATGTCTTTCTTGTAGTGAGGGGCCCAAAACTGAACACAGTACTCGAGATAATAAATACATTAACATTTGCAAATGTTGAAAATAAGCAAATATGCCAAGACTCTTCATTTAAAAAAATATTAGTAATGTTCCATTACAGTATTCTCCTAGATCATCCTATTTATGTGTAAATTATCTGCAGTTATTCAAAATTTAGAACAGAGCTTCTATTTTGTAACTGTCAGTTATACTTTCTAGAATATTAGATGTGATTCTCTGAATTGAAACAATGTTACTACTACTAACAGTATGACAAAGTGTGTAAAATATAACTGTGAATTATTTAGAAGGTGTTCTCCTCAAATATTCTTGTTGATAAAGTCCAAATTAGAGAACACATTTTACATACCTAGGAGTGCTAAGAAGTAAAATTCTTGTTTTAAAAATAAATGTCATCAACATTTCTTTGCACAACTAAGCTGTTCCTTTCAGCTACTGCAGAGAGTTTATCTCAGTTTGCAGTAAGTGATTACTCTCCATCTCCATAAGGATCAACTAACTCAGCATCACAAGAAAACTGCTGCAGACCTGTGCAACAGTCCTAATTTAAGAGCCATTCTGTAGAACTGTGAGGTAGTTTTGGCAACAGTTCAAATGCACTGTGTGCACACATTACAAATGCAAAGCAGATCTGTAGCAGTCTATGTAGCAGCAGTGGCTATTGCTGCATTGCTGCAGGGACTTCACAAGCTATGCATCAGAATGATCACAGAAATATTTTGCAGTGCTCTGGCTACGAAAACAAACAAGCAACATAATTTACAGTGAAAAGTACCATTGAAAATATGCTGAGAAAATAATGATACAAAACCTTCCAACTATATTTTGATCACAAAAATCTGTTGTTCTTGTATTCACTCCATGCTGATATCCCTACTGTCACAAAACAAATCAAAAGCAGAGGGCTGGAATTACCGTTACTTGAATTGTTAACTTTGGTCTGCTTCAAGGAAAAATTTTTCAGTAAGATGGCATAGGTTTGTTTTTCTCCCTCTACCAAAAGAAGATTTTGAAATGATAAAACACACAGTAATCTCAATACTAGTAATAAAATCAGCCCTTTGAAAGAGATAATAGGACTAACACCAACATTAAACTCTGTATTACTTTCTGTAATGGACTTCAAGCAAGTGAAGTAGAACAAAAGAAAACATTTTTAAGGACAAAATATGGAGGACTTGAGCGCGCATTTCAGAGTAGAACAAGTTTTCAACACCATAAAACATTTCCAAAATGTCATTCTTTTTCAAGAACTTTGATCCCATCTTCAGTCAACTAAGTTGTGCTCTGCTGTCAAGACATTTAGTTTGGACACCATTAATGTTGGATGCAAAAAGTTCTTGGGAAAACTGAAGCCAAGGTGTAGCACAAGATTCAGGTTAGCTTGATAGAAGATGCTATAGTCCACTTTCTTGTCAAAGAAATCAAGGAGACTGTCATAACACTGATTCAAGGGTTGATGTCAAAGGTTTTCTCGAGAAAATTGTTCTAAAACTCAGGGAATATACAAAGGTCCAGTAAGGTACAAATAAACATCAACACAAATAGTAACTATGAAAGCTTTTAACAAATGTTCTGCTGTTATTCTTTAGTGTTGAATATTGTTTATTATTTGAAATTTATTATATTAGTATAAGAGGAAAGAAAATTGGCTCTCTTCAGTTAACAGTGAAGCAATTCACTTCAATTTGAATGGAGGCATAATTTTCTAGAATGGCAAAATGACGTTTACATCAGAGTTTTCATTTATTTGTATTTCTATGCTAAAAAAAGAGAGAGAGAGAAAATTAGTTTCATTATTTATTTTATAAATGTTTTTAATATTGTTTTATTTTTCCTTTCAGTACTTTCATACGTAAATGCTTGAAAAAGTTATATCATTAAATATTTTACGTCATACTTTTCTTAAATATTGATTCAAATATCGAAGACAAAAATGTTGTCCAAGAAAATGAAGATTTTAAGTAAATATTTAAATTTTACTATTTAAGTCAGAGGAATTAAGCTAAATCAAATTTTATCTTATTAAGTATCTGTCTATCTAGCCTTTGAAGACAGAGGTTCATTATTCCGTATTCTGAAAGTACACAATAAGTCATAATATTATTTTTAACATGATAATTATTGCCTATTTTCTTACTATGTTATTTCAGTAATAAAAATGAATACTATTCTCCAGAGCTGTAAGATGAAGAGAATTTCAAAGCACAATATTATTTGCTTATTCTTCAAAAGCAAGAATAAAGTAGAATTTAGTTTGCAGAGTGGAAATTCAGAATTTCACCCCACTGACTTAGAGATAATTATTGCCCTTGTGGAACTCACCTGTCTGCCCCAATACTCTCTATAGCTGCTTAAAGGTCACCCCATGCCAGGAAATGTAGAGCTGAAATTTCTAATGGCATTCATTCTGCCAGGTCACAGGAGGTTCTTCCATCATCACATCCATATCTTCACCAAGAGCAGGAGTTCCTGAATATTTCCAGATCCTAGCAAAGACTAGGGAGTGTTTTTATTCACCAAAATGTTAATGGATTAGAAGGTAATAACAAAGAAAATCAAGCATTTTATAATATATATAATATACTACTAAGATTCACAACTCAACATCATTGACCACTATGTGTATAACCAGTGTTGCCCAAAAATGATGCTTTTTCAGTAACTAATGAGCAGCACAGTCGTTCAAAAAAAGAGTTCTTTGTTACAGGAAGTAATGACTTAAATATCCCAGACTTACTAAACTACAAGTAATATTTACAAAACCAGCCAAACAAGCAGAAGAATTTATTTCTTTATTTTAAGAAAGCACATTTAAAATTCGTCTTCATTGGGAGTTTTTTCTTTCAAGGATTTCTTGAAGGAACTGCTGTGTGCTTCTGCAAGATCTTTCAAAAGTTAGAGTTCTGTTTTCTTCATTGCTGGTATTGGCTTTACCACCTGTTGATATGAAATTTTTCTCCAGTGAAGAACTAAAGCAGCACTATTTTCCAATTTATTTTTTTAATACTATTATGTAATTATACTCTTCAAGTATTTAACATATTGATTATATGGAGTACAGCACAGCAAGATTTTATTTTCACACATTTTTCCCAATAAATACTGACAGTCTGTAAATAGAAATACATACATAAAGCAACTGTGTATTTGGATATGCACTTATTTTGTCAATTCTTGAATTTCAGTTTGAATATCCCTGAGAGGCTGTTTGGTGTACAAAGGAAACACAAAAATCTGAAAGTCTGATTTATTTTTGGCTTATTTTGGTGAGAATCAGAATTTGAAAAATATACAGAATACTTAGAAATGTTTTAACCATCATGTCTTTTCAAGTGAAATGACAAAATTATTATAGGACTATAGGATTTCTTGTCAGCTTTTAGCTATCTAGACCTTCCTACAACAGTACTAATGGAAAAACTTGATGCTTCTATTTGTCAAAAGTGTCACTTCACATCAGAATTCACTTTCATTGATTTTTCCTAAATATACAGAATAGATTTTATGCAGCCAAATGAGAAAATCAACTTTAGTAACTTTAGCTGTCTGAGCTGAGTCAACTATTAATCTGTAAACTTCAAAACTAGGAATTTCACCTTTTCTTATTACTATTTTTGTTATTAATTTTTACCAGTATTATAGAGCATAGGAAAGTTTCTTATCTTTCTGCGGCGTGGATTCTCTCAGTTTGCTTCCCAGGAGTTACTTGAAACATGAATATGCAGCCTTTTATCAAGTGTCTATACAAATAATTTTTAATAATAATTATTATTTGATCTTATTGTATTCTTAATATCGGGTACCAGGTCATAGAATTCTTCAGAAAATCGTGATTTTACATTCAAAAATGCAGAGAAAGTTATCATACTTTTCCTTTTATTAATTCCTTCAATAATTTTTGGCTGGAAAAGAAAATGCCTGTCCACCACTTTACTGTCCTGTGATGTGACATCCAGATGATGATGTGCCCTTAGCAATTTAAAAATCATAAAATCTCGTTTTTGTACACTCACATATTCCCTCTCCTTCTCTCAAATACAAACAGACACACGTCTTTTAAGAGTGAATTTTTTCTCAAAAAAAAAAGATTTTTTTAAAATTATTTTATTTGCTACTGTAGCTATAACCCTTATTTCCATATGTAACTCATTTATAGTTTTTGGACAACAATGTGAATTAAGATATGTAATGAAACATTTCAGTGCTTACTATTCTGCTTATTTTCATTTAATAAATTGAATTTCAGAATGCAAATCAGAATATTTCAATTAATCACATACAGTTGAATAGAAAGAAAGTGCTAAATACAGCCTCAATATATTTAGATGAGAGAATGCTCAAAACCCACAATAAAAATTATCTAAATATTAAAGGATTATTCTCAAAGAGAGATCAGGCATGCTCTGAACAAATATTTTAGTTTCTTGTCATTGATTCAGAGTATCCTCACACACTCTTCACTGAGTGGAAAATAAAAATCATGCTAACTGGGACAAAGACTTATTTTGGAGCTGAAGGCATGAAATAAGCACAAAGAATACAACTATACAACAGGTTTCAAAAATTAAAAAAAAAATCTCAGATCCACTTTGTTTTTTGAAATTTAGCCATGGCTTTTGAAAATTTAGCCAAGGATCATATCATATTCCAGTAGCTCATAATACTATTCTGAATTTTCTATGTTAATAGGGCTGTGATATATTTGCATAAGCATGATGCTTCATGGTTAATAAATAATCAGAGCAAGGAGCTCTGAACAAATTCATCTACAGAACTTTCTCCCCACAACAAGTGTGCCTAAACTGCAATCCACCACATCTGTAGATACAATTAAGCATAAAAAATAAAACTTCAATACAGTGCCTTATTGATTTAGAAACTTAATTGACCTTCATATGATAAAAATAATAAAAGGTTAGATTTATGAAGTGCCTGGCCTATAGTTTATTGTTAGTTGTTGGTGGTGTGGGTTTTTTTAATGTTAAAGTTGTGTGTCAACTCTATGCCCTCATTCTGAAAATTAAAACAATTACATTAAAAATGAAGATTTTGATAAATTAATAACCTAGTAATTACTTTTGTACCATTCTTAGGGTAATGTTAACCTAGAGTGAGCAAGAAATTGCTGTTCAAAAAGAGTAATGTGTTAATAGATAGCACAACCACTTACAGACAGGAAAACTGAAGATGTTAACAAAGGTCTGATGAATAAAAACTAGAGTATGACGCAGCGAGAATGACAAATTAATTCATGTTGATTTTATATTCATGTATCTGTCTTACCTTCATGGAATTGCAGATAGTATGATACCATGGATCAGCATGAATAAGTTTTATTGCAGAGTTATGAGTCATTAGAGATATCAACCAACTGCTATACAATAATGTCACAAAATGATGTTCATAAATAAGTTTTATTTAATGAATTTTAATATTTTTCAAGATATCAACTTCTAATAGATGAATCTAAGGAAAATGAAACTATTCTGTACACTCCACCAGCATTTTAACCGTTTGCTATGGCACCACTATACATGTCACTGCATGCATTCACTTGTGCACATTTTACATTTCTAGGATAGAAGTTCCATGTTCTTAGAGGAAAAAAGGAAGAAAATATAGTAATCTTCATTGTCTTAGACATTTGTCGGATACTCTAAAACAAAAAATAAGTTTCCATTAGGAGTGGAAATATTCTGGTGATCTTTTAGCCAATTTCTGTCTTCCACAAGACTTTAAAGCAAGTAAGAAATGAAATGATCTCCTAGAATATGAAGCAAACAGAAGTATCAGTAACGCATATATAATATAGTAATGGTTTTTAGATGACTGGTATCAAATTGAAACCAAGCTTCCTAGGAAATCTTGGAGATTATCATAATTTCTCTCAGCTCTTATGCAACACTATTCCCTCCCTGATCAATGCTCCCTCTGCAAAAAAACTCACAAAACAGAGAGAATTAAATGGATTATACAAGCTGCTTTAAATGAAGTCTAGTATCTACTGAGTTCACCATAAGAAGTAAACATAGCTTCTTTCTCACTTTCCCACAGTTCATCTACCTTCCAGATGCTTCAAAAAGACACTGGCACTGATAACTAAGTGCCATTATAAAACTGTACAATGTGCAGCTTACCTTACATTCTGGAAGAGATTCTGATTATTGGTGCTTAAATCAGTTCAAACAATTTTCATATTATTTCATTATATGTTGCATTCTTCATCATTAGTATTTTCAGCACAGTGGACGTCATCAAGTTTATGTAGTTATGTCTGAATTCTCCCCCATAACTCTTTGATTGATAGGCTCTGTAAAACTGTCTTCTGAGTACACGTAGGATTTAATCCTGAGACAGATATTTCTTTTCCATTTGAATGTACGTCTCAGGATTTCAGAGGAAGAGATAATCCCAAAGATAGCTTAAACCAGATCACAGAGAGATCTGAAGGTGCAGTTCTAATTCCTGAAAGATTTCACAGTGAGCCTTCAAAATGAGCAGAAATATGATTGCAGGCTTTGATTGCTAAGACAGATAGCTCTGCTTGGAACAAACTGTGCTGCTTTACAAATAGTGCATTATGCCTATAAAGAGACAACTAAAACAATCTGCTTAACAACCAATTAATGAGCAAAGCAATATGCCTTGTGTATTACAACATTTAAACCCAAAATCAGGGAAAGAGCTGCCTTCTTACCTAATAATTTTGGAGATTTCCATTTCCCGTGAACTGCTGTGCTTCAGAGTATCCAGAGTAGCAAAGAAAATCTGATGCTGAGATTCTGGGGACAAAGCTCAAGGAAATGGCCCAGTTAAGAAGAGGAAAAATGCTTCAAATCATTGCCAGAAATGCCTTTTTTTTTTTTTTTTTTAATTGATCACTTAGGAATGAATTAAACTAAATTTTTACTTATATCACTCTATAGCAGTAAATTCAGATTAATCTACCATGAAGTCATTTGAAACTCAAGGAATAAATTGGGATGAATATGATTACTTTCTGTTTTATACAGTTATATTATAGATCTGATTGTTTCCTTTTGATATGTGACCATTAGTTTTCAGACACCTAAGATAAAGACAGTCTTTTTATTTTGCTTTTGTAAAGGTAAAGACTGACAGATTTGTAAGGTAGCAGAAAAGCATTTTTAAAATGTCAGAGTTTTTGGTCATCTTACCTTTTCAAGTTGAGTTGGCATTAGAATCAGTTTCTCTCTTCAGCACTCTATTCAAACTTAAATGCCTTTGCGTGGGAAAGGAATGCAAAAACAGATTAACAAGTTTGTTAACAAGATAACAAGAAGAAAAAAATAAAAATGTAAAAGATTTCTAGGTCAAAAATTTTGTTTCAGCAACATCATTATAAATAAAGCATGAGTTTCATCTGATTACTATGAAGGTATGTGGCGTTTTGTAAGATGGACAACACGGTAAAATTAATGTTTACTTTTTAACACTCATAAGTGTATGTGCCCTAATACACATGACATGGGGAATGAACACAATGATTTAGAGACCTACGAGCAGCTGCATGGCTACTGTCCTGCTGATATCGTGAAGACATGATGGAAAGTCCTCCATAGCAGTAGTGTTGCCACAAAGAGACATAAATTCTTTAAAAAGACAGGCTAGGAAGATGAAAAGATGTAATTGCCTCTTAAACAAGAACAGTAGAGATATATGCAGCTCCGTGCGGGGATGCATGAAGAGCCTGTTGAGAGCTCAGATGTGAAGATTAAAGAGGAGACATGTAAGAGTAACACTTTAGTGGGTGTTTGCTGCAGGCTACCTAATCAGGAAGAAAAAGCAGATGAGGCCTCCTATGAACAGATGGGAGCATTCTAATGTCCTCAGGCCCTGATCTTCATGGGGAAATTCAACTATTCTCACATTTATTAGAGGGATAAGACAGGGCATGAACAATGCAGGAGGTTCCTGAAGTGTGTCAGTGACAAATTCATCACCCAAGTGAAAGAGATGCCAATGAGGAGAGGTGCCTTGCTGGATCTTATGGCACCTGGATCCCAGGTAGCCAACTATATGCTGGGTTGCATTAAAAAAGTAGTGGCCAGCCAGGAGAGGGAGGTAATTTTTCCCCTCTACTCAGCTCTTGTGTGGCCCCATCTGGAGTACTGTGTCCTGGCCTGGGGCCCCCAGCACAAGAAGAATGCAGATCTCTTGGAATGGGTTCAGTGGAGGGCCACTAAGATGATCAGAGGACTGGAGTATCTCCCCATGAAGAAAGGTTGAGGAAACGGTTTGTTTAGCTTGGAGAGGAGAAGGCTCTGGGGGGGGAATCTCATTGTGGCCTTCCAGTACTTGTAGAGAGCATATAAACAGGAGGGGGAACAACTGTTTACACGGGTTGATAGTGATAGTACAAAGGGGAATGATTTTAAACTAAGACAGGAGAGATTTAGGTTGGATATTAGGAGGAAGTTTTTCACCCAAAGGTTGGTGACACACTGGAGCAGGCTAATCAGAGAGATTATGGATGCTCCATCTCTGGAGGCATTCAAGGCCAGGCTGTATGTGGCTCTGAGCAGCCTGGTCTAGCAGGGGGGTTGAAACTAGATGATATTTGAGGTCTTTAACCACCCAGGCCATTCTATGATTCCATGATTCTATGATTTTATGATCTTATGCACACCAACAAGGAGGCTTTCAGTGGGGATATGAAAGTCAAAGGTAGCTTGGGCTGAAATGATCGTGAGGTATTGGAATTCAAGATTCTGAGGAGAAGACAGAGTGTAAAAGCAAGTCCAAAACTTTTGAGTCAGTGAAATAGACTTTGACATTTTCATGTAACTGTTTGGACAAGTTTCATGGGCTAAGACCCTGGAAGGAAGAGGGACTCAAGAAATCTGGTTAATATTTAAGGATCACCTCAAATAATAAGCTCAAGAGAGGTTCATCTCAATGAATATAAAGTCAAGTAAGACTAGAGAAAATGTGGAAAAAAAATATATATGGCAGAAAAGGGCCTGAGAACTCCAGTTTATGCCAAGGTGAGCATGAGCCAGCAATCTATTCCTGAAGAAAATAAGTTTAATGGTATCATGGTCTGCATTAATAAGACCGTTGCCAGCAGGTTGAGGGAGGTGATTCTTCCTCTGTAAGGCCACATCTGGAGTACTACACCCAGTTCTAGGTTCCTACAAGAAAGATACAAGAAGCTACTCATGCCCACTGAAGGCCACTAAGATGATTAATGGACTCAAGCAAACCGTGAGGAAAAGCTGAGAAATATTTAGCCTAGAGAAGGTAATATCAGCAATGACAGCAACACAGGAGGATCCATCTGAACATCAGGAACATTTATGTACTGTTCAGGTGACTTAACTATGGCACTAATAGTCCTGAGGATGTGGAGTTTCCTTCCTTAGGGATCTTCAGAAAGTGCCTACTTATAGTCCCAGGTAACACGCTCAGGGGGACCATGCGTCATCAGAGACCTGGAACAAAATAATCTTCAGACCTCCCTCCTAACCTCAATCAACTTGTGATTCTGTGAACATGGGGAATATGGCAGACTTTTTTTCTTTTGGTAAAACATACAAAGACCATTGATAGCCCTGACATAAGAATGTGTACTTCAACTAAAATGAAAGAATTGAACCACTTTTCCTTGGTTTGAATCACTGAAGAGTTAAATGATGTGCACTTCTGAACTCTTTCAGTCAAATGGAAAGACTGTGTGTGTGAAAAACATTTGTATTAAATAATATATTTGAATGAACATTAGGATTTAATGATGTAAATGTTAAGTACAAAATTATGCATGTAAAAGAATTCTATGTCAATGAACCAAAATAATCATTTATTATAGCATAGCTACAAGCCATGCATTCAAGCCTTACAAGTCCTATAATATTTTCATTATACTTTAAAGAGATCATCTGAAACTGAGAAGACTAGCTGGCTTTTCTGAAGATAAAATGCAAAATTCATATGGAAGATGATTCATATGAAGCTAGCACTCAGAATTTAGCAGAACGAGTATTTTAATACTAGGAGTGAATGAGTGGTAGCAATTTCCACACCTGAGAATGCTAGGGTTACTTATATATTTTTAAAATCTGCACCAAACAACTTTCTATTTGGCATGATCAAGAGCTCATGCGTGTTAGAAACTAGAAAACTTTTTGTGTGCATAATTATATGAGTATGAAACATACTATTGAATAAATGCGTCAAAAAGAAAAATGCAATATATTTTCATATTCTGACTCCAAAATGACTGGTACTATTAATTCAGTGGAGGACAATTATCAAGGCTGCAGTGTGCTTTGTGCAATACAGTTTCTATAGTTTCTACTGTAACATCTAATCACTTAAGAAGCTTTCTGAAATGTTGTCATTCACAATATATTGTAGCAAAGATTTCTGTAGTTTAGCTGAGCATTACATGAAAAAGTACCTTTAGTTTGTCATCATCTGGAACCTGATAACTTTATCTAGTGCCCCAGTTAAGCTGGGAGGCATACTATTTTTTCATTTTTTATTCAGTGTATTGTTCTTTGGGAGAAACACAGTGGTGTTAACATTCTGATGTTTTAGCTGTTGCTGAGCAGTACTGTACAGATCAAAGGATATTTCAACCTCATGTTTTATCCTGTTAGCAAGCAGGGCTGAAGGTGCATGAGGAGCTGAGAGGACAGAACCAGGACAGCTGACAAAATCTGGCCAAAGGGATATTCCATAACATATAACACCATGAGAGAAAACTTCTAAAATTGTGGGGAATTGACTGAGGAGCAACCATTGCCTCAAGACTAGTTGGGCATTGGTCGGTGGGTGGTGAGCAATGTTTTGTTCAACATTTGTTTTGTAAATATATGTTATTATTATTACTATTATTATTCTCCTTTTCTCCATCATTTCTTTCATAGTAAATAGCTTTTATCTCAACCCACGAGTTCTACTTTGTTGGTTTTTTTTCTTCTTTTTTTTTCCTGATTCTCTCTGCAATCCCACAGGGAAGGAGGAGTGAACAAAGTGCTGCATGGTGCTTAGCTGCTTGCCAGGTTAAACCATAACATGTATTTAGCTGTTGTAATTAGGAGAGTATGCAACTCCAAACTCTGGCTACAGATCAAAGATCATTTCTACCACAAAGCACTGCAGGGAGGAACAAATGCTTCTCCCTTAATAGTTGTTGTTTTTTGTTATGTTTTTGTTTGTTTGTTTGTTGGTTGGTCTTTTTTTTCTGAGAAATTTACAACACTTGTGAAGGCCATTCAATCCACAACTTAGAAATTAAAGGCATCATATTCAGCAGTTCAGTTATGTTGATCTTCTTTTTAATTACTTAGGAAAGAAAGCTAAGGATAAAGACATCTGCAAACATCTGTGTGCATATTTTAAGTATGTTGTATAGCCAAGGTCTCTCTTCTAAACAAAGAGGAAAAAAAATAATTCTAACATTCCTGACTTGAAAAACAAAACGGATAATTAAATACTTGAGAACCTTCAGGAGGTTCCTCCTGTCTTTTTAGAAAGAGAGCTTTGAAGATTTCCAGAATCTGTTTCCTATTGAGACTACTTCTCAAAAAGCCTACTACATTTTTTCAAGTTGATAAAAAAAACTCTCATTTTGTAATGTATTTATATCTATTTACCTATATGAAGAAGGCCACTAACAGGAAGTATTTATGTAATTAGCTCTTTTTTTTTTTTTTTTTTTTCAAAAGAATGGGCTAAAGTAGAAATACTGTTTGTGAATAGACAAATTTGCTGTTTCTAAAAACTCTGTCTGATGTTTTGTAGACATTAAAAGATGACCTGGGGATACAACTCCAGGCTAGATGATGCAATGTGCAAGTGTTCGAAAGACTTATAAAATCATACAGATGGAGTGCATCTCGAAATGCATAAAAAGTAGCTCATTTCCCACTAACTCTAGGTCCTCATCTGTGTATTTCCCCTAGCATTCTCTGCCTTTGTTATTGTAATTCTGACATAATAACTCATGTACTGTGAGTGCAGCTGGTTTTTAATGTGATAAAGAACATTGCTGTTAGGAATATTAATAGCAATATGAAAGGAAATGCATTATGGAATTTACACAGTCAGAAGCATGATACTATTAAATATATATTATATATAGTCTTGAATTCTCTGCAAATGCCTATTCTTCATTTACTAGTTCTTCCTCAATGCCCATTTCACCTCATATTTCTGTCTTCCTCTCTCTTTTTCTTTCTTCCATATTCCTTTCTAAAGCCTGATTCTGAATGTGTAGAGTCACTGGAAACGTTTCTAGAATAGGTCTGTCTGCTGTTGCATAAGCATATTCCCCTTTCACTGTCTCCGTTAACTTTCAGTACCATCCTCCTCTGCATTCCCTTTCTGTTGCTACTTATACATTGTTGTGTCTTCTTACATTCTAGTTACATTTATTAAATTACAATGGGACCTACATTACTTTGCTGCAAGTACTACTGTTATGCAGCAGTTGCAGAATATCACAGTATTTTTAGTGTTGACCTTATTAAAGGAATATTTTTCCTTATTAACAGTATCCACATGCTAACAGTCAGCTCATCATAACATGATACACTGGAATTCTTAAGACAGCTGATGTTGTCACCTGTGACCAATTTATATCCAAAGATTTGGATATTTAGTAGTAACATATTTAAGTCATGTTGCTGTCTCTTCTGCCAGTTTACACCACCAAAGATACACTAGATAGGAGATATGAGAACTTTCTCTGTGCTGAGCTAATCTGAGGCATAGTGAGAATTGTACAGAGTAGAGAAAATCATTAATATCCTTTCATTAATTTCATGACTGTTAAAGTAGGCAAAATGAGATCTAATAGTAGTTAATCTATGAACATTCTCTTTTTAACAGTTACTAATAGAGAAAAATCAGTAAAGACACTGATTGCTGGCAAAGATTTGAAAAGCTGTCAAAATAAGCTTGTTGAACTTTTAGAAAGTTTATTCTCAAACTTTTTATAATGACTATTTCCCATGTTTAAATTTCATTTTTTGCCTTAAACTTTGAATGTTTAGCAAGTTTTGAAAAAAATATTTTATTTGTGGACAATGTAAATCTGACTCTTGAAGTTCTGATTTGTAAACATTAAATATAAAAATGCTTCAAAGTTTTTTTTATATATTAGTTTGACCCTGTGTATAATCAAAGAATATTAGGATGCTACAATCACGAAATAAAAAGAAAGCTGAGCAAAGCAGACTATGATAACAAAAGAGAATAAATAGAAGGCTTACCCCTATCTTGGGCTCACTCACAAAACACCAACAGACACAATATCCAGAAGAGATCCTTCCCCCCGGTAGCCAGCTCTTAAATAGGTCTAGGAGGGGTGCAGCCAGGCTCCACCCCTTCCAGCAGCACAGGTGAATTGCCTTCAGCTGTGCTCCTCTGGCTGACTCATGGCTTGCCTCAGGTGATCAGTCAGAGGTTCAGGCTGTGATTCAGCAGTTCCCATACACCCTGTTTGAACTTCCATGTAAGCTTGTAGTGACATAGTCTGTATAGCTCATAGCCCTCTTTTATTGGTATCAATCACTGACTCAATTATGTCTCCCATAGGATACTCCAGTTTCTCCTCAGACTGCATACATGACTCAAGCTCCTAAAGCAGATTTCAAGATGACATTTAGGTAGCACAGCATTTGGAGCTCATAGCTCATGGCTCATCTGTAATTATAATAAATTATATAAATTACATGAATTATATAAATTATATAAATTATAATAAAATCTCCTGTTATCCAGGTTTACATCAAACTGAGAATATAACAACCATCCAATAGTAGACTGGTGAATAAAATTAAAACACTGTAATAGCATTGTTGAGATGAGGTTAATATTTTTACGCATCCTCTCTCTCTTGACTGGACTCATTTTTTTTTCTTTCTTTTTTCTTTCCTTTTTTTTTTTTTTCTTTTTTGCTTTTCCCAGATAATTACTATTCTGATCTGTGATGGAATAGTGAGAGTAAGTGAGACAGAGTCACTGAAGAGCTGGAACCTGCAGTCAAATAGCTGTTACTGCTGTGCAGATCAGTTTACATGCAGGCTTACTTCTGTTTGGGATACCCAAGACAATTGGCCAACAAGTCATTTAAATGAAATAGTTTAGCAGGTGTAATCATAGCAAGTAATCTTAGCCTATTCAGCAGAGAACAGTCTTGAAAGTTTTCAATACTGGGAGAAATTTTGATATTTTGTCATTTTTGTTCTAACTGTGGATGGAAAATATAGTCGAAATAATTCATTTCCATGGAAGAGGAAAAAAAAAGTCAACCCTGTCCCACAATATCCATATTGTACTTCTTTTATTTAAGAAAAGTGAAAAACATTATATATCAAATGGCAATAGTGATGAAAAATCCTCTACAAGATCTCGTTTTAGGAAGGCAGGATTTTTGTAGTTCTTGAACAATTAGGTAAGCAAATTTGCAGTATGGTAGAATATTTGAAGTTTTATATAAGATAAGTTCAGCAAAGGAAAAAAAAAAAAAAAAAAAGGAGGAGGGAGGAGAGGAGCAAGGTGAAATAATAGAAGAGCTCCAAATGAGAGGACAGTCTCTGGCATAACTTAGCTGTGTTTGAAGACGTCAGGAAAATCTTAGTAATGGAGGTGTCCATATACATTCATACAACAAGCATATTACCAAGAGTGAACAGAATCTATTTTTCTAAAAATCAGATTAACATCTTAATATGATTTGCACCTTTGGTTCTTTACCTCCATTTTGTTACATAGTTTTTTGATTACTGTATTAATAGAAATATTTTGCTAATCATCTGGAGAACAACAAATAATGTCTGTATTTAGTGAAAGAGACCACAGATCACAGAGATGTAGAAAATAAAGCTAGAGTTGAGAGAAATCAATGCTGTAACAAATAACATAATTATATAAAATCCTACCAAGACACATCTCTGATAAGAGAGAGTACTTGAATTATCGAAAAGTGCAGAATCTAAAACAGCACCATAACAGTCTTTAAGAGTTGAACGTGGAAATAGTTAGCAGGAAAGACCACCATACGTGGGGAAGGTGAGACTGCCAAAAAGTATCTATTTTAAAGTTACATTAAATTACCTAGATCAAACTTTCTTACCCTTCACTCAGGCTCAGCAAATATCAGTCCTATTAAAAGGGAGAGAAACCTGAAAAAAGCAAACATGTTAAGTCAGCATAACTTTGCAACATTTTTCCCAGTGCCATAGGAAGAGGTAGAGAGGACAATGATTTTAATAGGTTTTGTTAACATTGAACTTTTTTCACTACCACTATTTAGATGGTTCTGATACAGTAATTCAGCCAACACCAGCCACATATTTATATACAATGCTGTAACAAAGCCAGCTTTCCAGTATTCATTCAATAATGTACAGTCATGTACAGTCATGTACGGTCCCAGTTTCTGGGCTTGTAAGTCATGTGCGCATTTGTTGTGCCTGGTGACTTAGTCTGCATGGTACATCAGAGGCGTCCTTGTGGTTATTTGGCAGCTGGATCATGAAGTGTATTGTAGACAGCTATTTTCAATGTTTATATCAATTACAAAGCAGAAACAAACATGATGAATGCAAAAGGCAAAAAATACTTGCTTTATTGCCCAGTGAAGTTGAAGTTGGGGACAATAGCATGCCAGCTGCTTGGCACACTTTCTGGGATATGGAATCTCTAACAGAGCTTTAAGCACTTATGTGACCATTTGTGAAAAGAGCTTGGCTCTTCATGCCACAACTCTGTAACTGCCAGAGTCTGTATGGTATTTGTGCTGGGAAGAGTGCCAGCTTGCCTATATATGCTCTATAGGCAAGGGCAGTGACTAAATTTAGAGGAATGACCACTTTCATTTCACTTTTCACTTTCACTTACTTACTGTTAGTACTAAAAAGCAACAAGGAGTGAAATATTTCCACTGCAATATGAATGAGGGGGATGGTACTCAGGGAATGGAATTCAGCAGCAAGCAAACAATGATTTCCAGGCTCATCTCTCTTGCATTACGTGCAGTTTATCAAAGTAAACCCATTTAAAAAAAAAAAAGAAAGAAAGAAAAAAGAAAAGGTTCTTCAGTTACCTAGAATCTTAAGTACTATGTACGGATTTATTATGCAAGAATAATGCATACAATCATTATTATCCTTACAGCTAGCCTAACAAATCCCTTTAAAAAATTTAAAAAAAAAAAAGCTTAAATCTGATTTCACATGCAAGAAATTTATTTTAAAATGCTTCTGAAACTTTCTATGTTAAAATGGTTTCTTTTCAGACTGTAGTCGTTAATATGACCCCTGCTGTTTTGTTTTCATTAAGGCATGAAAAAGACTAAGAATTTATTTAAAATCCATTTAAAGTTTTTCCCTCTATTTGGCTGCAGTTTGAATTCTTCTCAGTCCAATAGTATTGATAGATATACTAAGAATATTGATGTATTTCAGCCTGTATCTTGTCAATAGGCACTATTCTCTTGGAGCTGGTGCTGTTCCTTTTGACCAGAAGAATATAATCTTTAATTTCAATATTTGATTTGAATATATGTAGTACCACATACTAGAATTCTACAGATAAATACTTAGATGTTTGGATCGAGAGGGATATACATATTTAAATGAAGTAGATCCACTAAAAATACAGTACATGTTATGAATATCAAGAATAATGCATTATTCCACAAGTGTTAAGGAAAAAAGAAGTAGTTGTAACTTTTAGGTGTAAACACATCTGTTAATTAACAGTTTCACTTACAGATATTGTCACCTGGTAAAAGAGGCATTTATGAGAGAAGAGTTTTAGAAGCATTTTAGTCTGCAAATGTATACTGAGCTAATGTATACCAGGTTCTGACAATGTACATGCACATACAATCCAAACTGAGAATTAACACATATATGTAAAAACTAGTCACGGTTTGAGTGTTTCCATTTTTTTTATTCTTCTTTGATAGGAAGTGAAAACTTGGCTTGTAATTAGTTAAAACTTCTAAGTGGATACATGCAAAAGCAATTAAGAAGTATTTATCCATGGCATAGTCCTTTAGTTGTGAATGGTTCCACTGATTTATATTCTAAACATAATCCGACAAGACAATTTCTATTGTGTCATAAATTAATTATGAGCTTCTTCATCTCTATAAAAGAGGTTCTTCTGACCTAGAGAAAGAAAGAGCACAGAACATACCTGAAGTGTCTTCAGACTCTTAGCTACTAGGCTAAACATAAATGGTAGACAGCAAGTAAAAGTGGAAAAGCAGACTCAGCTGTATCTGAAGTCTTAAAGCACTTTTTTTCTCTGCTTAGTCCCCCTTTCACTTCTTTGAACCCTCTCTCCATATTTACTGATAAACCTGTTTCCTACTACTTGGACTGCTACCTTCACAAAAAGCTTGGAAATACTTTTGCTGAAAGTACACAGTTTTGCTCTTGCTTATTCTCTAGGTACACCACTAACAAAATAAATAAACAAACAAATAAATAAACAATTGTCAGTTATTAAGTTGATTAACAATAATTTCATATGCTTAAAGAAAGCTTTAGTACCTTTTCCTGACTTCTAAGCAAGTCTTAACTATTTACAAAATAAAGGTTTGGGGATGTGTGGTGTGTTTTTTGGGTCTTTTTGTTTTGATTGGTTGGCTTGGGGTTTTTTGTTTGTTTGTTTGTTTGCTTTATTTTTCCTGCTGAAATAATTTGTCTTAAATAAAGATAAGTTTTACATGAAGCTTTTCAAATTGAAATGTTCAAAGGCAGTTTACTTAAGCAAAATGATTGAAGTGAACAAATATTTTTAAGGCCAAAATCATTTATAGAAATTTATTTGAAATATTGTGTTTAGAGAGATCCTAGATTTTAATATCATTACCAAATTGAACCAGTGTTGTATAGCTGTTTTCAAACTACAAAAATATGCAAGAGAAGAATTCTTAAGTATTAGGGAGATTTTCTTAATCAGTAAGTGCTTATTTTACTGCATGTCTTCAGAACAGCCAGCTGTCTTTTGGAAGTATGACTGGATATGTATTCCGTTAGTTTGGACTTTGTTTAAGACCACCATCAGTTACAGGCACAGCAGCCACCTGCTGTAGAAACTTCTTTTGTCATTTTCTATCAGCTCTTCAGTCCAAAGCTAGGAGCTCTGCTCATCATCTGGCTAAGAAGTCTATCCTATGTCTTCTTATCGTGTCTTCAGAAGGCATTCCGTAACAACGGAAGTCTTCCAGCTCTAACACCACATCTTTCTGTTTTGATTTCCAAGGCTCCCATGGC